TTCCGAGTTATTTTGTCAGTATATAATTCGATCGGTTTCCCCAATATTTAATCTATAAAAAATTATCTAAAAAATCACCTAATTTTATTATTATGATAAACTCTGAATTGTAAATCCTTTACTTTTGTATCAATACAATTCATAAAATAAATTCATGTTTTTTTAAATTAAAATATTTCTCTTTAATTAACTTTCCCTCTTTTTTTATTCCATTATAGTAATTTATTTAAAATATTTTTTGCCATTTTTTACCCAATGAATTGGAAATCTCACACTAATACATTTTTGTATTTTAATGTTTTTAACTTTTTTTTATTTTTGTTTGGGCCAGGAAGTGTGTTTTTGTAAATGTTTGTGTGTGTCGGTGAATATATTTTTAAGTAAAAAGGAAAGAAAAATACACTAATGGACATTAGTTTTGTTAAAAATTTTGCGGCATGGAAAAGAGAAAGAGAATTTTGAAAAAGCTTCTTTCTTTCCAAGCTGACACATTTTGGAGAACGGCAAACTAATTAGAAGGTCCAGAGGGATATATTTATGTACACAATCCCTTTTTGGAGGGAAAAGCTTTTTAGAGGTCACTTGTATTTTAAAAGTAATGGGTGGTGAAGAGAGATAAAGCCAATCCAATTAATGGATTTACAAAGAGTTTTTAGTAGGAAATAAAATTTAGAATGTTGAAATTTTATTTGTAATCAGAAATTTTAGAAGGGGAATTTTTAAATAATCATATTTTCTATTTTAAAACTACTATCTAGTTAGTAGTTAGTTTATTTGTTTATCTAATAAATGAGATAACTTTTTTATTCCCAAAAAAGTTTTTCCCATATAATATTTTGATTAGATTATTAAATATATATACATTAATTTATAAAAGATGGGAGAGAAATAATAATTAAATTTTGTTTTTAATCCATTGTTCATAAAAAGAGTATTTTTGTTTTGTTACATTTCCTTAAAAATAAAAATTTTTTTAAATTACCAGTCAGAAAACGAGTAAAGATTTTCATACAAAAGATTTTTTTCTCATGTTTCTTTAAAACTAAATTTAAATAAATAAATTAGATGTGAACACCGTCAACGTTGTGTTGTGCCCGTAAACTGGGCAATATTTCAATTAAATCGAATTAATAATAATGAAAGTTTTGATCAATGTCCAGGCACTCCAAAATATTTGGATGCTGTTTATGGGTGTATTAGAGGTGAAAATAAATAAATTTGTTTGTTTTGTTTTTGGTGAAAGTTTTGTAGCTTTTAGTTTTTTTCCTTATTTTATTTAATTCTGCTTTATTTTTTTTGTTTTCTTTATTTATTTTCTATTTTTATTTTTATAAAAATATGGGAATTTTACATAATTGCTAATTTTCTACAAATTTTTAAAAATTAATTCCAAACAGTTGTGAACATCAAAATAGCTGTAATGTAAAAGCTAATATACAAGTTTTTGGCAATAAATGTCCACAAGTTAATAAATATTTAGATGTTGTCTATAGGTGTATTGAAAGTAAAGTTTTCATTTTAATTTAAATTTTTTTGTTATTTTTTTGTTAGCTTTTGGGTTTTTTTGTTTTTATTAAAAAATATTTTTTGTTTTTGTAAATTTTACAGTAAAATCTCTCCTTTTTTTATCATAAATAGGATAGAACTTTTTATTAGGATATCTGAGAGATGTTATTTAGTTTTAATTATCTGAAAATATCAAAATTAGCAGGGAATTAAATTAAAGGTTTTCCAAATGAATTTTCTTTGACTCAATTAAATATTTGTGAGTGATAAGAAGAGGAGAGAGATTTTATTTTAATTATTTTTTCTGTAAAATTAATTTTATTAAAATAATTAGCAACAACAACAACATCAAGTACCTCCACAACAACAAAATTATCAACACTAAAACCTTCATTAAAAATATCTCCAAATAAATTAGAAAAAACTTCGAGTAATTTACCTTTAGTAAATGAATATGAAACAACGAAAGAATTATTATTGGATACTTATGAAGTTAAAAATGATGGGGGAGATATTTCTGATAATGGGGTAAATAATTAAAAGTTTTTTTTGTTAAAGAGTGAATTCGAAAAATAAAAATATGTAATTATTTAAAAATTAAAAATAAGAAAAGAATTTTCTGGAGGATTTGGATTTAAGGGGTACTTTTTATTTTTAATTTAAGCTAAGCGCGGTTAAAAACAATTAAATAGTTTAACACAAGAGAACCTTTAAACTTTATAAAATCCAATTATCAAAAAAGACTTCCAAGAAATAATTTAGTCTGGATGGGATATTTTCTAACATCTCACCACAATCTAGTTGTTTATACTCCCTTATTAACATTTCTGAATTAAACAAAAATTTCCCAAAAAAATTTTTTAAATTTAAGTCAGTTCTTCTCTATCTCTTTTTGGCAAGTATTTCTGCTGCTTCTGTAGTTTTCTCAATATTTATAGCATTATGGGCATATTTAAGAAGGAATAGACGATTAAAAGAAACAAAAAATAAGAAAAAGAAAAAGCATAATTTATCAGAAAAAAATTTATTAAATAAACAAGAAGAAGGAAATTATGGAGATTATGCAACTATTCCCTATGAAGAATTACCCAAATTTCAAAAAAATTCCCCCCAAACACTTTCTTATTATTCACCTTCAAGTAGCGGTTCTTCTTCTACAACAACTACAGCAACAAATAATGGGTATCCAATTAGATTGGGGTTTGTTAATGGACAAAATCAAGTTTCTCGTTATTCTTTTAATCCTTGTGACAATTTAATAAATATGCCTGAATATGGCCAAATGCCCTTACAACATTATGGTAATGAATTTTTAAAAAAGCATTTGTTATTTTATAATCGTTGAGGCCAACAGAAATTCTGGGCTAAGATTCTATTACCATTTCATTGATTAAGCAAAAAATTAAATTAAAATTATAGTCCATTTAAATTCTGGGCTAATCTATTATATAAATCGTTTTTACGATAAGGCTTTTGGGATGAGAAAGTTTCGCATTTGGAATTGTTTAAATATTGCCCAGCAATTTTAGGGAGTGGAAATTGGGAGACGTTTCCAGACCTCATCCATATATCTAGATCTGAGTTTCCATTTTCCCTTATGGACTTAAGCATAAATATTTTAAATTATTGACAGTTGTCTTTATTTTTGCCAATAATGGGAACTGTTATAATTTTTAAATAAAATACCTTACTTTTCAAAAAATTCTTTTTTAAAGGTCTTCACCCAATTCCGCCATGTTTTCCAATTCCACCTCCAAATATGCCATTTAATCGACCTATTGGACACGAACACATTCAAAATTATCGATATTCACCTTCCAGCTCTCTAAGAAGCAGTGGAGGCACAATGGTCGTTAAAATGGATTTTAGTCGTCAAAGGCCTTTATTTAGTGAACGAATTGAAGGTTTAAATGAAATGGATGAAGAGTAGTTGAGTAAAAACAAATAATTTTTTGGTTTTAAAATTTCTAATTTTCAAGAGCTTTATTTATTTCATATTTTTACGAAAGAACCTTTAAATGATTAAGGAATTATCGACAGTATTTTAAAGGAATTATTTCTTTTAATAAGGAGGGAAAAAGTTAAAAATGATTAGGTCCTTTATTGAATAATTAAGGGGTTCTAATGTAAAAATCTTCACTCATTAGTCGGGAAAACTGAGATATGTATATGTTTAATATATTTCCTAACCGGATTTCCACACAAAAAAAGTTCCTCCACAAATTCCTTTTAACTTCACAAATTAACCAGTACCATGAAAATCCATTTATATTATAATCTACTTAATTTCTCTCCTTTTCATATCTCAGTTTTACCTCGAATTAATATTTATGGGTATTTATAAATTGTGGCTAGAGATATTTGGAGACATGACGATTTAACTAAAATAATATTTTTTGATAGGAATTTTTTAAATAAATTTTCTAAAAATTATAATAAAATCCTTAATGTCTTCAAATGAGCAAAAGCCATTTTAATAAATAAAATGATAAAAGTTTAGTTTATATCTATCCCCCTCCATTTTATTCTTTTCCAAAATTCCCTTCTGATTTTATTTGGTATATTTTCAATCGGAAAATGTTAAAATTTTTTGTATAAAAATGTTGTTGGCAAGGGAAAAATAAAAAAAGGAAAAACAAACTAAACTTTAACCAATAAATTCAAAATTATTTTTTTAAAATAATTCTTTTGCATTTTATAAAATTAAATGAATATATTTAATTTACTATATGCCATCATATAATTGTTACAATTTTTATTTAATTTGTTTGAGCTTTTCCGGTGCTTTTAAATAAAAGATAAAATGTATTTGATAATCTTTTGAATAAAAAATTTTTAATTTGAATTTTATTAAGGTTTTAATTTATATTTTACTTTCATTAACATTGGTAAACAAAAAAGCCCACAAAATTATTGTTTATTTTCCTAGGAAAGTCCGGCAAAAATATAAGGCTATATCTAAAACACAAGGGATAATATATCTTTGATGAATTTGGAGTAATTTGTATACTACCCACTTTCTCGTAACTATCCAAATCCTATCTCTAATTAACAGTATGAAGATTTAAGAAACACGGAAATATTAAATTAATATGAGACTGTCTGTCTATTAAAATAAAAAATTAAAATTAAAATTTATTAAACAATTTCCTTTTAGTTTATTTGGACAGATTTAATGTTAAAAATTAAGAAAAAATCCGTTAAAAATCGTCTACACAAGTACCATCTTTTCGCACTTTTAAATCGTTAAAATAGTCATGTTGGCATTGAAAAAATTTTTTAGTTAAACAAAAGAAAATTTTTTTATTTTCTAAATTTTTTATAGACAATGAACTTTGGCTGGCGTTAAAAAATTAAATTGTTTGAATAACCACCATGTGGTTAAAATAAATTTTAAAGTTAAAAGCTCTAAAAAATATTTTACTGTTAGTATAAATAAATTGAAAAATTTAAAATAAAAATTAAAATATTATATAAATTTATTTAAATAAAAAAATGTTAATAATTAAAAATATTTTTATTTTCTCATTTTATTTGTATATTGTTTTGGCAGTTAATCCGCCATATGGAAGGCTTTCAGTAAAAAATGGGCAATTAACTGGTGCTAATGGACAGGCAGTTCAATTAAGAGGAATTTCTCTTTGGTTCAGTCAATGGCTAACTCAATGGTATTCTCCTGAAGCTGTTAAAGCTATTAAATGTTTTTATAATGGAAATGTTGTAAGTCTATATTTTATTGGAGATCTAAAAATATTAGAAAAAATTAAAATGTTAGGTAATTTTTTGAGTTAGAATTTGAAAAATAATTATGGAGGCTGGTCATGAATCTGAGCTAATCTAGAAAATAATACTCTGAAAGTCAAAGAAAAATAAAACTCTTAACAGATTATTATATAAATTTAACCATTAATATTTTCTTTTATTTCAACAGGTTCGAGCAGCAATTGGAACTTGTTGTTCTGGTTATTTAGAGAATCCAAGTGCTGCAATCAAAGCTGCTACTGCTGTTGCGGATGCAGCTATAGCTGTAGGTATTTTTCATAACTTGTTACCCAAATTCTGGAAATATTTAAATATCAAAGAATATCCCCTTTAGAGTGTAAACATTAAAAAGTTACCAAAAAATACATTTAAATTTTAAGAATGGAATTTACTTTTTAATTGACTTTCACGATGTAGCTAACGAAAAATGTACAAATGATGCCAAATTTAAACAATTTACAAACAGCGCTATTCAATTCTTTACAACAATATTAAATAAATATAAAGGGTCTCCAAATATGCTTTTGGAGCTTTGGAATGAACCAATATGCCCATGGAGTAAATTAAAGGACTATTACAATGCTGTACTTCCAGTTAGTTTATTTTTAATTTTTGAAAAATTCTTATATGGAAAACTTCATCTTCAAAAATTTTTTAGATGACATAACTTAAATCTATCCAATAATTTATTAACAAATATTAACCTCGTCTCCATGCAATACAAAAACGATTAGAATAGATATTAGAAATTCGCTAAAATATATCAAGTGTAAATTATCCATAATTAACCTGGATAATCTTTTCTTTTGAATTAAAAATTATTTTTAGGTAATCCGAAAACTTGACCCGAATGTTGTTGCAATACTTGGCACACCATATCAATCTACTGGTCCGTCAGCAGAAGTAATTAACAACCCTGTTTCTGGAACAAATTTAATGTAAAATTTATATAAAATAGGAAATTGGTATGTTGACCTGCTCCTATATTTAAATAAAGCGAAAATCACAATTAACCTTATCTTATTGAATAATCACCCCTGAATAATTAATTTTTAAAACTGGCTGGGGGGGGGGGGTTCTTCTATTTAATCGAGGAAATAGAGAATTCAAACTCTTAAATACAATCGAATCTCTTTAACTACCACTAATAATTTCTAGAGTAATTAACAATTTTAAAGGTATACTCTTCATTATTATACGGTGGACAATAATCATATACAACAGCAAAAACAAATGGTTTTAAATGCAAGGGCCAAAGGTTTGGGAGTTTTTGTGACCGAATATGGCGATGCCGGCCTTAATCTTCCTGCTCCTCTAAATCCTTCAGCAATGAAAGATTTGTGAGTAAAAAGTATTTTAAAAAATTAGATGTAGACAGCTTGACTTTACAGCTTGCCTTTATACCTAGAAATTTTCTAATTTAAACCCAACCATTTAAAAATTAAATCTTTATTTCCAAAATTTAGCTGGAAATTTATGGATCAAAACAAACTTTCCTATGCCAAATGGTCCTTATCAAATAAAGATGAAGTATACTCTTTAGTAAAGCCAAATTGTACCCCAGCTCAAGCAATGCAGGAATCGTGTCTGAGTGATTCTGGGAAATTACTTCGAGATTTTATGAAAACACAAAACAATGGTAAATAGAAAATAATTGAAAATGGAAGAAAAATATTTTATTTTTTAGGTATAACTGGTTGTTAAGCATGTCTCTAGAATTATGAAGTTAATTCAAAAATTTAGTTAAAAAATGAATGTTAAAAATAATTTTTAATGATATTATGATTAATTTTAGTTATAGAATTAATATTGTATAAAGGAAATATTTTGTGTTGAGTATCTTCTTATTTTTCAATTCAATTTTGGAGAATTTTTTCATTTTTATGTTCAATTATGTGTGGTTGGATGAATACTAACTGTCCCTTGACGGCGTTTTGTTTGAATTGTTGTTTGTATACGAATAATTGTTGAATGGGCTTTTGTAATTCCAAAATAGCGAAACACAGCACGGCTTTAAAAATCTATGTAGAATTCTAAAATAAGACTAAGATACCGATATGGAGCAACAAGCAAAATAGTCCCAATTGGATTTAATGCCGGTATTAAATGAATTGGAATGTCAGTAAAAACTGTGTAGATTACAGTGCTAATACGTTCGGTAACAAATACAGGAAGAAATGTTTGAACACCCCAACCAAAAGCTTCAAATGTTGGAAGTAGGGCCTTTAAAAATTAATTTTTACCAATTCCAAGAAAGAAAAAAATCCTATTTCTCATCCTATAAAATTACCTGAAAAAGAAGGGCGGCCGAAACCTGATTGCTATATTCTTTTAATTTTAAAACATTCATTCCTTGAACTTCTTTTCGAATTTTAAAGAAACAAATGCCAATTACAATGTAAAAACCAGGTACAATAATACCCATAATTACAAGGTGTACAAGCCAACGAAAGTTTCTCTAATTAATTTTTATTATATAGCTAGGTAAGTTAAGCTAGCGAGCAAGTTGCATGAACATTAGCTGCCACCCTACCAATTGACAGGTAGGGCAGTCTTAGAATCTTAGATGCGGGTTTCCCAATCCTTACATTTTCGATAAATTTTAGTTTTCTGAAGTCAAATTTTTGCCTATTTAATTTATAAAATCAGAAGATTTTAAAATCATTATATGTTTAATTTAGCAGGAATTCTTAGAACCTATATTTAGAAAATAATTAGCGACTTTTACCGCATTAACAAAAGAAATAAATTCAACATCAGTTAATCCAGACTCCTCCATAATTTTTTCTCTTATCTCCTTCATAAAAACTTTTTCTCCTTCTCGTGGATAGTCAGCCCATGCAAGCAAATATCCATGAGCAAAAAATAGACAAGTTTGTCCAAAAGTCATCCATCCAAAAAATTTTAAAGAAACAACCCCATTTCTACATAAAATACAAAAACGGTAAGCATATTGTGTTATTGTTGTTATTAAGAAAAATATCTTTATTCAAAGGGAAAATTTAAAAAAAATTTTTTTGAAAATTTTTCTAACCAGCATTTGAACCCAAATTAGATAGACAGCATAACGAATTGGTTGTGAAGACTTACGAAAGATTCCATTCATCAAAACGGTTCGATAACCGTGCGAAATTACTGGTATCTATAAAGATAATGAATTTAAAAATGGGGGGGGGGGGCAAATTGTCTTTAATCCCTGAGCCCGTACAATAAATTTAAAGTAAGGGTTCTGGCAAATAATTTATTGTATGGCACTAATGGATAGAGTTTTCGGTCTCTAATATTCGAAACCGAAGCCTTAAAATACATTATTACCGGTTGGACAATAAATGTCCAAAAAGAAACAATTAAATCCATAAAACAACTCATATAAAGCAATTTTTTGTATATTTCCATTCCTGCTGCTGTTTTAGTTCGGATCAGGTAAATTAATAAAGAATTCATTGAAAGACCAACAAAAAGAACAAAACTGTCCAAAAAAGCGTAGACAGTGCGGATTGGGTCTAAAATAATTTATTTACCTTATTTTCTTAAATAAATATCTCCCTCGATTAATTACCACCAGGGCTGTGCGCCAAAATTTTCGCGTGGCGCGCCAAACGCCAAACGCCAATTTTTTAAATTTTAAAAACACGCCAAACGCCAAAAATCGGCCAAAATCAACGCCAAAACGCCAAACGCCAAACGCCAAACGCCAAAATTTTTAGAGACTTAAAACCCACTGTTCATATCATTTTAGCGCCGCAGGCGAAATTTTTTGAATTTTCAAGCTTCCCAGAAGCCAGAATTCATCCTTTTTTACCGCCGGAGCGAAATTTTTGAGAATTTTGGAGGCAAAGAAGCCGAAATTCATCCTTTAGAAAATTTAAAAAATAAGAAATTCATAGAACTCCTTGAGATTAAGGTGGATATGAAGGGATAAAGGGAGTAATGAGTATAACAGAGGTCATGAAGAGAGTAAACGATTGACGGGACTAAAGTTTTACTTCTTCCATCTATTAGTTTAAGATAAGGGCTTTTTGAAATTTTTAAATTTTGGAAGTCCAAGCAGTAGATTTCTTCATTTTTTATGCGCCGCAGGCAAAAATTTTGAGAATTTTTGATGACTGTACGCAGAAAAAGTTCCTTTTTCGATCATCCCTTTCTCCATTTATTTAAAAAAAATTCCATCATTAGGGGTGTATATTTTTGGCGTTTGGCGCGCCAAAATCGGAAAATCACGCCAAACGCAAAACGCCAAAAATCGGCCAAAATTAACGCCAAAACGCAAAACGCCAAACGCCATGACGCACAGCCCTGATTACCACCCTTTTAACTCGATGAAATATTTTTTAAGAACAATAGTTAGTAGATAAGATTTATTTACGCAAATTTTCGTAAAAATTTTCAAGCATTTTTAATATAAAATCAAAATTCGATTCGGGTGGAATTATAATTTCTTAACACCTATTTTTGTGAGAAAACTCGATAAAAACCCGGTTGAGTGAAATATTTTTAAAGATTTTATGGATATAATGTCCAATAATGGTTATCTCATATAAAAATTTGAGATTAATTTGACAATCAAATCTATGTAAAGAGATAGAAAAAAACTAAGTGGAATAAAATTTCCTAATACACTATACTCCTATTTAAATATTTAAATTTGAAATTCCTTCTATACCTTCAGTTGAAAAAAACAAATAATCGCCTTTTACTTCCTCAGATAAAGATGTATCGTTCATTTTCAAATTAAAAAAAAATATTTTTTTAATAAAGTTTAAAATTAAAAAATAATATTTCGGATTTATTTGGATTTATTTTTCAAAAATAAAATTATTAAATTGTTTATTTGTCTACTATGAACTATTATTTAAATATAAATAATTATTTACATAATAATTACTATGTAATTTACCTAACTAATTTACCTACGTTCTTTAGATAATTTTATTTTTAAAATTTTTAAAAATAAAAAAAATAATATTTTTAAGAGAACATTTAATCTATTAATTGTTTTTAAAATTAAATATTTAAATAAAAATTATTGTTAATTCCTGCCGGACCTAATTTTTAAAAAATTGTTGGCTCTGAGCAATTAAAATGTTTTTACCTGCTAAATAAATAATTTGTTGAAAATATTTTATATTTTTAATTATTTATTAATGCATTATTACTTGGAAATCTCTAAATAATTTGTTTGTTATTTTGTACTTCGTACTCGAATTTTTTAGATTTCTGGTAAATAATTAAGTATTGAGTCAACAATAATACATAATGTACTTTTAAAAGTGTATCTCTTGACTATTTTTTAGTAATTTTTACAATTAAACTTGAGAGTGTTCAGCTATGTCAATGTGTATTTTTAAAAATTAAGCTGCAGCTCAGTAGGGCTCAGAAGGTGAATATTACTAAATCATTTTTAGGACATAAGCGAAGATTTAGTAAAACAAAACCAACAAAAAACAGTCTCGATTTCAACGAGTACTCTATTTGGGTTTACCGATTTCGTGCCGAATCATTATGATTAAAAAATATATGAATAGCTACAGCCAAACCTCAGTATAGTAGTATACCCTCATGGCAGATCCGGATCCGTAAAGACCAAATTTTTGGTTTGATATCGAATCAAGGGATTTATGCTGGACCGCCAGCCCTATGCCGGAGTTACACTAAATGGATTACTGAACTGGGAGTTACTAATAAAAAATAGACATTTACTTATGTATTTTTAACTGGAATTATCCTATATTTAGACTCACTATTTCTGCTTGCTTACACGGCCCAAACTAGATTTTTCAGCTTTAGAACAGCTCGTCAATACTATTTTTAAGCACAATAGGGTACACTATATTGAAGTCCTGCTTTAGTTATTGTTTTATTTTTTTTAAATTATAAGTAAATTAATTTGAAATTTATTAAGACTAATTTAAGAGAAAAAATTATTAAATAAATTTATATGAAAAATATTTTTTACTATTTTAGCCAAACATTTATAAGTTCCCAGTTAGTATAGTGGTTAGTATCCGCGCCTGTCACGTGCGAGACCCGGGTTCGATTCCCGGACTGGGAGGTTAATTTTTAAATTGTTTAGATTTTTTATATTTTTAATATTAATTATATAATTAATTTAATTTAAAGAAAATAATTTTTAATTGAATTATATTTAAAATTTATTTAATTAAAAATTTAAATGCAAATAAATTTACTTCTTTTTATTTTAATCCTCATAAAATCTTATATTTGTCCACCAAAGAGTTTAAAGGCCGAAAAGTTTTTGGGTAAAAAATTAAATTTGAATTTTCGAAAATGAAAAAAATATTCAAGTTTATTTTAATACCGTTTCGATAAACAATGTAAGGCGTACTTTGATCCGGATGGGCAAGGATGGAGAAAAGGAACTTTAGTTCCTGTGGGAAAGGATTGAATAAGGGGAGGAGAATGACAAATAAGGCCTTAGGATAAAACTAAGTGGAAAATAGTGAAAAGCGGATCAGTCGACTGTTCACCAGTCAGTTGGAAAGTGATCAATAGAAAAGTGAATAACCGGCCGAAGAAGCTGAGAGCTTATTCATTAATCCTGCAGAAGAAGCCTAGAGCTTATCATTCAGCGCATATTATTCCCGGGCAAGTCGATCTCGTAATCGACCAGCAGCACCGGCGCATAGAAAGGCCTACCCTCCGCTCCGCAATATACTCATCGGCATCGCCTCTCGGGACCCTTAACATCGCACGCAACCCGCCCAACATCCCAATACCATCCTGGCCCAGCACTAGCTTTACTGGTAGCACCGTCCCACCTCCCCCCGCCACTGGCCATGGCGGTGGGGAGGGGATCCAGGTGAGGTGCGGAATGGAGGAAGAAAAGCTGCCATTGTGGCATGAGGCCCACGGGCCTACAAAAAAAAAATAATAATGTATATAAAAATATATATACAAAAAAAAATTTTTATTACTTTAACAACAAAATTCCTCAACTTCCCTTTTAAAAATTCAACATCAAAAACACTTCAAAAAAAATTTTTCTAATTTTCCTCAACAGAAAAAATATATAATTCTTCAAAAATTATTCAAAAAAAATATTTTTTTTCTTTTAAACTCTTAAAAAAATTCTTCAAAATTTTTTTTTAATTTCAACAATTTCACATATCAAAATTCTTCAATTCAGCAACAAACATAATTTATTTTGATAGATTAAAACACAACTAAACACACAATTAAATTCCGTAATTTTTCGTAATAAAATTCTCTCTTTCAAAATATACACAGACATTATTCATTAAAAAGAGACAGCCTTTCAACATTTACATTTTCTTTCAAAAAAAAATTTTTTTTTGTATAATGTTATTCCTCTTTCACAGGCAAAAAAAATACCTTGTTAAAATTCAACAAAATTTTTCTTTTCTTTAGTTTGTGTTATAGTTTTTTCAAAAATTGTGTTTTAAATCTGTCAACATCAAAAAAAAATTTTTTTTTCAAAAAAGTGTTTTAATTATTTCATGATTCAACACTTAAAAAAAACCATTAATCTTTAAATCTTTACTCTTTTATACATTGTTCACTCTTTTCAAAAAAAAATTTTTTTTCTTCTATTAATGAATCACTACAGAAAAGTCATAAGATAGAAAGGAACGACCTTTATTCTTTTCCTTTTTTCAAATAAAACATTTTTATTTATTCCGTCTGTCTTCCAAAATACTTTCCACAAAATATATATATATAGTTTTACACAAATATTTTTAAATATACATATAAATTAGAGTTGCAAATACCGGTTTTATTTAGGGAGAATTTTTTTTAATAAAATCGCTTATTTCCAATGTTGTTTTCGGGCTTCAAAATTTTCTAAGAACGGTTAATTTTTAAAAATTTCTCAAAAACGCCAGCAACTCTAATAAAAATGTATAGGATATAATATATAAACATTACAATATATATATTTTATTATTTTCTACAATATACTAAAATCATTGCTCAAAAAAAATTCCTTTTGTTTTATTAGACCATATTTCAAATGTTATAATCCCTTATTAAACGAACATAATATTAATTTTTCTCACAAAAATACTCGATTTTATATATATATATATATATTTTTATTATTCTTATTATTTAAAACGACGACTAATGAACACTTATATTAAATATTCTAATAAATACAAAAAAAGGACACATTTTCTTATCACCATTTCGCGACGCAGGCGAAAATTTTTAAATTATCAATAAACGTGGGGGAATTTTTTAGCAGTTGGCTTCAGTTTTGGCTTTAAAATTACAAAATCAGAGGTCTCACAAAATTCAAAAAAAATCACGAAACACCAAAAATAATACGAAACATAAGAAACAAATAATCGAAACGTTTCGTGTATGTATGGTTGGTACCTCTGTAATGACTCAGTCAAAATCCAAATTTTTTTTTGGAGTTTTGAAAAATACGATCTGGCATTTTCGTACTTCAGGAGCAT